CCTGTGCCATGAACAGGGACACCTTCCACTAGCCCAGGTTGCTCCAAGCCACATCCAACCTGGCCTGGAACACTTCCAGGGGTAGGGCAGCCACAGCTTCTCTGGGCAACCTGTGCCAGGGCCTCACCATCCTCACAGCTGAGAAATCCTTCCCAATATCCAATCTAACCCTGCCCTCTGGCAGTGGGAAGCCTTTCCCCATTGTCCTGTCCCTCCAGGCCCTTGTCCCAAGTCCCTCTCCAGCTCTCTTGGAGCCCCTTTAGGCACTGGAAGGGGCTCTCAGGTCTCTCTGGAGCCTTCTCTTGTCCAGGTGAACACCCCCAGCTCTCCCAGCCTGTCACCAGAGCAGAGGGGCTTCAGCCCTTGGAGCATCTCATGGCCTACTCTGGACTTGCTCCATGTCCTTCTGCTGTTGGAGTTCTGGACACGGGGCTCCAGGTGGGATAAACAGAATAATTTACAGAACAAACCTGACCCATGCATTACATGGAAGCCATGAGCAGGATATTCCTGCTCATCGTTTCCACATTGGAATTTGTAGTTTGCTTTGTTTTTAAAATGAAAAGTCAAAATAGATATTTTTTTAAAAATTGCCCAAAGCAAATCCTTTCATTTTTAAGCAGCTCAGGGCTCTGCTTTCCCCAAGGCATCCCAGGGCAATAGAGTTTTTGGTGTAGCAATTCCAGGAGCTGACATGGTGCAAACTCTCCTTGTTCATGACAGCTACAGAGACTCCAGTAAGATGGAGCAGTGGCAGAGGTTGGAAGGATTTACCCATTTTCAACTAGTGAAAAGCCAAAGCTTCCATCAGTACTTCGACTGTGCTTCTCTGCTGTCATTGTCAGAGCAGAGAGACCATCAGTGCTGCTTTGCTGAGACTTTTTGTTGCTCATTACAAGGGTCATTCATTTCTGACTCAACCAACACCCACCAGTGACTGGAATACAAAGGAATTAACTTAATTTTAGGTCAGCAGCACTAAGGTGCTGCAGGTGAGAAGCCCAGCAGTGGCTGCAGGAGCAGCAGCCTCAGTGCCTGCACTCCAGATGTGTCCTCACCTACACAGAGTGGGGTGTTCCACAGCTGAGCCCATGGGATGTGCTCCATGTGAGCAGATCCCGCTCCAAAGCCACCGGAGATTAGTGGAAAGGCTCAGGGGTGAATTCAGACCTGCTGAGCATCCACGTTGCCTTGCAAAGGGAAGTACAGAGCAGCCCCCCCACATCTACAGCCATGAACCAGCACATCCTAGAGGTCTTGGGATGGGAATTATCCCAAGGGAAAAAAGTTACAGCATCCCTTTTAAGCAACTGCTTTGAGGCCAGAACAGTACATGGAGATTGCCAGGGCTGAGAACAAAGTCTGCTTAGAATCATGGAATCACAGATACCTGAGGCTGGAAAAGTCCTCTGAGAATGAGCACAACAATTCCCAGCACTGCCAAGGCCACCACTGACCCACATCCCCAAGTGCCAAATCCACATGGCTTTTAAACCCCTCCAAGGATGGGACTCCACCACAAAACACCCAGACGTATTTCCTTTAACCATGGACAAGTTTTGGCACAGCTCCCTCCGTGTCTTGTCCCTGTTCCCCCACTCTGAGCTCTCCTCACTCTGAAATCGCCATCAGGTGCTGCAAGGAAGAGGATTTCCCCTGGTTTTGGAACATCACAGCTGCTCTGGATATTTTTAAGAACACATGAGCAGCTTTTATTTAAAAATAAAAACATACAGTGGTAATTTGTAAGATCTGTGTGGAAGATCCACACAGATCAACCTCAAGTTTACTGGGTTTGAATTATTAAATCAATATTTTATTCTTTTAGGAGGAAAAACATCACATCTGAGGGGAAAATTATTTTTAATACAAACAAAACACAAGCCTTGAAAGTCTCAGCCTCCCGTGCTTAAAATCACAGCCTTCTCAGAAGAAGAAAGTCTTTATTAAAAATGCTCTTTAAAGTTAAATATATTCTTGTTTTTCAGCTTCTGTTCCAAGCAGAAGTACTGCTTTCCTGTGATTCCGGGGAAAGGTTTTCTCTTCAAAGTACAAAAAAGCATAAATATATTTAAATGACATTTTGTTTCATTGGGTAAAACCTGATCTAAGAATCCCAGACTGGTTGGGTTGGAAGGGACCTTAAAGCTCATCCAGTCCCACGCGCTGCCACGGGCAGAGACACCTTCCACTAGACCAGGTGGCTCCAACCTGGCCTTGGACACTTCCAGGGATGGGACAGCCACAGCTGCTCTGGGCATTTTGTCTGATTTCATTGGTTCAAAACCAATGATGGCCAAAGCAGAATTGATTCCAACAGGTAAATGCGGAAAAATTAATTTAGAAAGGCTTGGACCAATCCTTACAGTCCAGAAACTCCTCTGTGCAGTAGAACTGGAGACTGATTCCATTGAAAAACTGCCTGAAATCTGCATCTCAGGTAAGAACAAGAACTTCCAAGAACAGGATTTTTTTTTTCTCTCCAGATAAATAACAAGGTCAGAAAGAAGGGGAGGTGTTCAGGGAGTGTTCAGGGAATTGGCAAAGATTTTTTTGCCCTATTTTTATCAGTACCTTTATTTTTACCAGACAGTAACTCAAAAATAATCAACAGAAGACTTTGTGATATTTATATTGAAAATCGTTCTGATTTAAATATTGGCAAATTATGCAGTTCTGTTAACAGGAAGAGAGAAAAGAGGATGGTTAGTGGTCTGCAGGGAAGATGAGAGGACAGGACCAGCTCTCTGACTGTAGTTTATAAAAACCAAAAAAAAATCCTTAATTTTTCTGCCCAAAGCTAAACCTGGTGAGCACCCAGGTATGGAAATACAGTGGATCAGGAATGAGTTGTGAGCTCCCCCCTCATGTCCAGTACAGGATACCTGAGGAAAATAAAGTCCAATTTACAGCAATTTTGACAAACTCTAAAGCATTTCTAGGGCTACATCAAGTGCCCAGTTTACCATTTTAGAGGAACTTCTCACAAACTCTTCAAAAGCAAATTACTCCAAGTCATCTCCAGATGCCCCTCTGTTGAAAGGGGGGAAACTCAGTTCCCTGTCCAAGAGAAACCATTGTTTCTGCATTTGCAGTTCCTGTCCTGTTTTCCTTCCCAAAGGCTTTAAAAACAACAACCTCAAGACAATGAGATGGAAGAAAACCATGAAAACCTCTCAGGATACAACACGAGCAAACCTGCCAGGAGTGAATTCATCAGGAAAAGCAAGTGGAGAGGCACCAATTCTGGGTGTTTCCAGCAGGGCTGGAGAAATACAATATATGGAGATTTCATTGGTGCTTGGAGGGATAAATCAAGTTGAATTGCTCACAGAAGCAAACCCAAAGCATCTCGTTGTGAATCCAGAAAAGTCAATTCCGAGTCTCCTGGGAACGTTGCCATCATTTGTTTTCATTGCTCTGACTTCTCTTCATTTAGGCTCGAGATTAGCTCTCCCAACAATGATCACAGCAATACAAAAACCTGCTCCCAGGGGAATGGGATGAAAGGAATATTTACCAAAGTAAACTCAGGCGAAGAAATGAAAATATGGAAAGTTTAAAAAAAAAACAGAGTCACAAAATATTTAGGAGAGAGAAACAAAACGGCTTTAACTGTTGCTGAACTACTAAACATTCACCCAAAAATCTGTAGCCTTGTTAGGAGGCCAAAAAGCAGAGAAAAAAACCCATCCAAAACTCATCCAAACCTCTCCAACCACCATCCTTTGTGTATCTTCATATTTCCCGCACTGTTCTGAATTTATTTACTGAGTATTGTGCACTTTTCCTAAAGAAAAAACCTCAACATTTTCACCTTTGATTTTTCCTCCTATGTATCTTGTTTGCAGCCAAACATAATCCTGCTAAGGATGCAAACACACAAATTGCTCTTCAAACAGAGTTACTCAAACAAAGTGATTATTAGGATTTTATTGGCATGTGAAGCCAAAACGCAACAAGCTCCAGGCTCTGGCAGCCCTTTCCACCTCAATTTAGTTTGAATTACAACATCCTTAATTTCTAGTGTCTTGTTCACAGGGAAGCCAAAAGCAGAGCTCCCTCTGGAAATGTACCCTATGCTCAGCTCCAGTTCATTCTCCTTCCCAAGGATCCAACCAACTATAAGTAAATCTGCTCTACGTGTCCTGGGGGGTTTCAGGGCTCTTGGTTGAACTGGAGACCATCAGAACCACTAAATGGTCCGAACTTTTCCAACTCCAAAATCGAAAAAGAGCAGATATCCAACCCCCCTCAAGGCACTTACCTGGGCAGAAGAACATCCAGAAGATCCATCCGAGGAAATCAGGACCTGGACAAACATTTCTTCTCAATATCCCGCCTAACCCTGCCCCCTGGCAGTGGGCAGCCATTCCCCCTTGTCCTGGCACTCTTTGAATTATTCAGAGTTCAATTTTCCAAGGCATTAGAAAACACCCTTTATCTCCTTAATTATAAAAATATGTAGCACACACATAAAGAATAATTCCCTTTAGTTGGAGAAAATATCCCCCTCACTCCAAGCAAGCAAAAATCTATGGATCTGAGGCGTAATACCTTAAAAATTAGGTCAACTAAGAAGAAAGTGATGATCACAGAGAGAGTGTCTTTGAAGCAGCGCAAAGCAGAGATACCCTGATGTCCGGCAGGGCTCTGCTGGTTTAATCCAGCCATGAATCCTATCTGTGTAGCCAGAGTGACTCTTTTGCTCCCAATATCCTCAGAACTCTGATGGATCCCAGTGGAATTTGCACACGAATCATGAGTGGGGCTCCTCCCACTCCTCTGGTTTTCCATCTCTCCATTGAAAACCACAAGATTTACCCATTATTTCATAGAAACACAGAATATCCTCAGTTGGAAGGGACCCACAAGGATCATCCAGTCCAGTTTCTGGCCCTGCACAGCCCCAACAATCCCACCAAACACTCCTTGAGCTCCGGCAAAGGAGCCAAACAGTCCTGAAACTTAAACACCCCCTAAAAATTGGCTTAACATACTTATTAATTAAAAAAGTTAAATATTTATTTATACAAATATGATGAGAAAAATCTCATGCAGACTTTTCACAGACAGTAACAGAACCCAGACTGGGATGGCTTTACAAAACTTGGGTTTGGGGACGTTGAGGGAGAAGTGTCACTCTCACCCGCCTGGAGCATCGGTCACGGGGGGTGGGAAGTTCTGAGAGAGTTTTCCTATGGGACATATGCCAAGATTTTCACACTCTTCACCAATATTAACAATTAATATCTGATTACTACTACTCAGAGGACTGGACAGAGACATATGAGCAGCGGGGAATGGATTCCTGTGACCACCAGACCTCCACACACTGGAATGCAGAAAGTTGCCAAAAGGTCGCTTGAGATAATTCCCCTAAATGATGAAAATACCTTGGGATGGTTATGGATGGCATCTGCTTCTGCTTAATTATAAACCTGCACTGGATTCATAATTTGTGTATATTACAAGTAATTTGCATAATTAAAACAATTAAGGGACTGACATATCATGGCAATTAGAAATGCATCAAACTCTGGATGTTGTACAAAAGAGAGCTTCAATATGAAACATTAATTCTTTGAGAACAAAATATCCTTTAGATTCCTGCAGAACAGCCTTCACAAATCCCAGAGATGGTCAAGAAACTCCATTTAGAGCAAGTTTTTCCCTGGGAAACCCACTCATTGTCGTGCTGTTGAACATTGACCCCTGAACTCCTTCTCCTTCAAGTTCCTCCCCACAGTCACAGCCTCGGCTCACTCGTGTCTTTATTGCCAGTTTCAGGAGTTCTTATCTCATTTTCCGTAGCCTTATCCTGTTTTCTTTGTCCCTCTTTTTAAGAATAAGTATGAACTGGTTGAAAAAATGCTCCTGGTCCTTCTTCTTCTGGACGAGGCGGAACCGCTGGTCTCGGCCGTGTTTCTCCGCGAATTCCTTAAATGTTGTCCTGTAGGAAACAGAGACATTTTAGAGCTGGGACTTGGCCAAGCCACTCTCAGGCTCTTTGACCTGGATCTCAGTTGTTCACACAGACACCAAAAATGAGAGGTGTTCTGGGAATATTTGACAGGAATGTAATGGTGAAGGAAAGCAGGACAATGCCAGAACCACTGAACCTTTGGACACACAGACCTCCTTGCAATGGCCAAGGTCCACTTTTTATGGAAAAATGGGGTGATAGTTGGCACTGTGGACATTGCTGAATCACTAAGATGTCATTCACAAACCAGCAACAGGGGTTTTTTTATTTTATCCTGGATATTTTACATTACACTCTCCTAGCAGTGTTTTCTCCCTTAATTTCCTTTCAGGTTTCACTCCCAACGTGATGTTTTCTTTTTATAGGAAAGATTTGTGATTTACTTATCTCACTGTGTACCTAAACCAAGCCAGAGACTATTGCAGGGAAACGAGCATCCTCCCTGCTGTGTCAAAACCATTCACAGGTTAAATGTTCCCTGTCCTGTGGGCCAGGACAGTTTTTCCCTTGCAGGCTGGAAATATCATTGCTGGAACCAGCTTTTAAGTGTTACATTACCCCCAGAATATTCCCAGTTTTGTTGCAAAATCCTTCTTATAATAACAATAATAATTATTATTATCTCCATCCAGCCCCACGTGCTGTTTGTATTTACCTGTCTTGGCAGGTTGTGCTGTATAATTAAATACCTGCATATTTTAGTAGAGAAAATATTAATTTCTTGCTTGCAACTATATATTTATAATATATAAACACTTGTTTTCATATAATTTACAAATAGGAAAGCACTGCCCTAAACAATGCATTTGTTATACATTTGCTGGTTTGGATCCATCACTTGAAAAACAATGTAAAAAAATGAATTACACATTGGGCACTTTATTTTAAATTAATTATAGAATTAAAGAATAGTTTGGGTTGGGAGAGACCTTAAAGATCATCTTATTCCAACCCCCTGTCATGGGTAGGGACACTTTGCACTAATTTAGTGACATGGCATTAACAGCAAAATTGTTAAATTATATTTCTCTTCCATCAAAACCCAAACCTAAATACAATTTATGACTAGTTCCACCTGTATGTGTAATACAAATGAGATTTAACATTCAGGGACTGATTTTATGTGATTAATATGTATGTGTGTGTTCTACAATCAAAGCATATACATAAATATAAAATACATATGTTATGCAAAATATTACACATTCTGAATGAGAGGGAGAGAGAGGGAACATTCCCTTTCCCAGTAATTTAAGGAAATATAATAAAATATTAGGGAAGAAACATCAGCACAGCATTGGAAGAGCTTGTTATGAAGAGTTAAGCTCAGTGTTCCAGCACTCTGGGCTCATAAGCTCAGCCTAAATGAGAAATCTTATCTCCCCAAGTCTTCCTAAGGCAATGCCCACCTTGGTGACAACTTGGATTCCTCAAGAAGCTTTTTGAATTCTTCTTTGGCCAACAACAGTTTGTTTTTCTTCTCTTTGTACTCCTCTCTAATCCGGGTCTTGACAAACTGCTCAAAGATCTTGCCAAGAAAGGGAAGAAGACACAGAGTTATTAACGAAGCCTTTGTGGTGTTGGGGCCTGGCCCAAGAGCTGCCAAGCCCAGGGGCTGCAGTTCTTATCTGCCTGAGGTTCCTGCAGCCCTGACTGTGCATTCCCACAAAGGAAGGAGCTGGGAAAAGGCACAATTTGGAGAGATAACATCTCCATCCAAACATCAAATGCAACATAAATCAAAATCTCCCAACTCCAGTGCCTTGCTCGCATTTTCATTGATCCAGCATTAGTTTTGTGCCGCTGTCCAACTGCCCACAGGCCTTCAGTTTGAATCTTGCATCATTCCCAGCTGGTTGGAATTCCTGAAAATGTCTATAATACCAAACAGCAATTCTGTGTGTTATCCTCATGCACCCAAAAGCTTTAATGTCTTTGGAATGAGCAACAACCTTCCTCTAATAGTATTTGGCAGCAAAACAGGTAGGACACACAACATCAGGACTTTTGGTGTCTTGAAAGGGACTTAAGGAGCTCACTATGTTACAAAATTCTGCCAGCTACTTTAATCCCATTTTTAATCCCCAAATCCTGGCTGGTTTCATGCTCTAAACACTGTAACACACTAAGCTGTTCAACAAAAAATTCCCTGAGATTTCCATAGTCAACATCCTTCTCACTGCAAATGACACACATTAAACATGAAATCCATGATACCACCACAAGGTCCCTCCCCAGCATGAGCATGCTCAGGTGCAAATCTACATCCCAGGAAAGCTGAAGTAACCAAACTACAGCTGGTATTTAGGAGGAATGTGGAAAAGGGAAGGAATAGCACTGGAAAAGTAAATATTAAAAGATGGCCACGAAAGAATTACTAAGAAGAACCCCAAGGAAATTTAAATGCAATTAAGTAAGTTGAGTAAAGATGGAAAAAATGAAACTAACAGGTAACACTGATTTTGCTTTCCTTTCCTTCCTTCATCCCTTTACCTCCTCTCTCCCTTATTCTCTCCTTCCCTCCCTCCTCCCTTTCATTTTGAGCCACTTTTCCCCTCTCGCTGAATTTCCATCATTCTCAAAGCCTGCAACAGTTGCTCTTGAGGCCACAGTCGCCAAGTCAGTAAATAAAGATGGATGTGCCCCGTCCCTCAGTAAATATCTACAGGAAGCTCTCTGGAGAGCCAGGGGACAATATGGAATAGGAATAAGTCCATTTTTCCATCATGTTCATTTAAAAAATGGACAATTGCATATTCAAAATTCTTCCTTCTCCAGGATGATAAAAGACTTCTAAGGAAGAGCAATAACTACAGGACAGAAGTCCTCACCTTCTCTGCAACATCCTTGTATCTCTCCTAAATTTTTTAGACTAACCTGCAGACTTTTGGATCCCTTGTGACAAATAACAACACCCAAATTATCAAGGAAGCAAAACGTTGACATCTCTTTGCATCACCAGGAAAACCCAACCCTTCTAACAGGCACCAGCACAACACAGGCCTGTGCCCAGTAATTGCCAAATCCAGCAGTAAATCCTGCCAAACTCCTAGAAAATGTACTAAATAATAAAAATGAAGCAGTCTCTCTTCAATATTTAAATAATTCAGAGTAGGAATGTTACCTTATGGCCATTTCCTTCTTTCCAGCCCAGTTTCCCAGGCTCAGGAGTTGTTCTTGCAACCCAAGAGACCAGAGCTTGCCTTGTGTTCAAACCTCCCTGTACCACTTCCTTCTCCAAGGAGACAACGCTTTAAAACCTGGAATACCCTAAGTTGGAAGAGACCCACAAGGATCATCCAAGTCCAACTCCTGGCCCTGTGCAGGACACCCCAACAATCCCAATCTATGCCTGAGAAGCATCATATCCCAATGAACTGAGCCTAAATCAGGAGTTTCCACAAAGAAATATTAATTTTATGCAATTTTTACCCTCCCAAGGTAATTCCTCTGGTATCCCGGTTAATTTGGTCAATGTTTGAGGCCAGTCAGGAGCCAGGCCAGGGAAACGCTCACCTGCTTCCGCTCCTCTGAGTTCAGCAGGAGGTACCGGGGGTCAAACACTATTTTGTGTAATTCCTTCTCCCATGTAGAAAATGCTGAAACCTGCAAAGCACACCAAGAGTTGCACTAAGGAATTTTAATAGGATGTGGAAGAAGCAAATGTTCCAAGGTAAAGCCAAAGAGGAGCTAATGAGCCCTCGGGAGGACATCTCAGAGTGGCTGAAAGGGGAATTTTAATGATTTTGGCAATGCTCTGGTCACCCCCACACCACTGATTTTTCTGTAGGATATCTCAGTGAGGAGCTGGGAGATGTTCCTTCCACATTTTTGGTGGAAAGAATCTGTAACAGAATGGAAAATTCCATTTTATGATCCTGTTTGAGCAACAGAAAAATCAATTCCATCAAAGGAATTATCTCAGCTTTAACTCCAAAACTGAAATTATGACCCAAATGAGGCACAGACTGAGGAACCACCAGTGAACATCTTCAAAGCAGCACATCCCTGCAGCTACAGGAGATGGGGAGATCACATCCCACAGAGGTTCTTCCATCTTCACAAAGTCATGGAATCATGGAATGGTTTGGGTTGGAAGGGACCTTAAAGCTCACCCAGTTCTGCCCACTGCCATGGGCAGGGACACCTTCCACTATTTCAGGACCTTGGGAATTATTTGCTACAGAACAATCTGGAGGAACATAAAATATTCTAATCACTCCATCTAATTACAAAGCAGAGTAAACTCTTTTAACAAAATTAAGTGTGTGAAGTATAATTAAATAGAGTAATTAACACTCGAACAGGAAAGGTTTGATGAAGCAAAATGGGTTTAAACGGACTTATTTTCCTCTTAAGAGTGGTCAGAGATTGGAATATTCAAAGTTCAAGCTCCTTTTGGGAATTCAAGGCCATCTCCTCCCAAGATCTCCTTTCCTGAGCTCCCCTCCCTGTGCCCACCACACCCTGAGATTTGGGGGTTCCCCCTTCAAAAGGTTCAGCAGCAGAAATCCCCTTTTCAAGGTGTCTTTTATACTCTCTTGGACATTGGCTTTGTTCCCAGCACAAAACCCACTTCAAACTCAAAGCCAGTTAAGCTCAGACTTTGAGATGGGAAGGTGGGGTTTAGGACACCCCAACCCCCCTTTCTCCCCAGTATTAAGAAGGTAAAATCTTGAGGAAAAAATACCACGTGGAATCCTTTGAAAAACCTTGTTTTGTGGCCAGAATCCCAGCAAGGAGAAGACTTTCCCAGGAATGCTGTAGAACATGGATATTTTGATGCTGGGGCTGGGAGGGAGCCAGAAAGAAGCTTAAATTTTCTCAGGATTTTGCGTAAACTTTTAAACTTTCAAGAGGGTATCAGAGATTACATTTTTTACACAGAAAAACTTGCCCCAGACTTCAGAATAAATAGCGCCTTTGTCTTGGAGCAGCACCAAAAATTCCATCTATTTTTGAAATGTTACAATAAATATTCTTCTGTTGACATAATTTATGTAGGAAGATGCAGAACTACCCTGGCAAACTCCATCTGGTTCAGCTCTTTGTAATGCCATCAAGTAATTCCTTGAGAAACAACAACATGAGGAGAAAATGGCAGGAGATGGTCATTAAATAATCAGATTAAAGCAGCACTAATGCCCTCCCTGAGTCTGAAGTGATGCCAAGCAGCTGGTGCTGACCCAGGGCTCATCTGGACATTTAAAAATCGCTCAGGGCAAAAGCCAAATCCCCCCTTATCTCCACATTTTTAAATCATAGCAAAGCAAAACAGTAAAATTCCCAAATTTCTTAGTTTTATGAGCAAATCTGACTCTTACACAGAAACACTTGAGGATCCTATTCCTTAGAACATCTCTAATACTTCCAAATATTGCTTATTAACCCTCAACTTAAACTGTGCCAGCAGAAGTCTCAACCAGGGTTCATTTATAGCCCTTCTGCATTTTTATGCATAAATAACAAAATGCATTAATAAAGCAGGGCTGGCGTGGAGATAATTTACTGCTGAGCTGCTGAAGCTCTAATTATGCACCTTTAAAGCTGCTGATTACCAGGGATAAATTTTATAGGCTTTACTGCCTAACAACAGACACCTTGGGTTTTATTTTGTTACAGAAATGACATTATCTTTATAGAACACATATTGAGTTATCTTTAGAGAACACAGATTGCAGAGTGTTAGAGGGAGGGAGAAAAACTGCACACGCTGCTCATTATAAACCCTCCTTGTCCCTGTTCATCCCTGAGCATCCCGTGTTCCTGCAGCTCAGCCTCAGCTGGAACATCTCCAGAACATCCTTTTCTAGGGATCTGGATAAGCATTAACGGCTTTATACTGCCAGAGTGGGTTAGATGGGATATTGGAAAGGAATTCTGGGATGAGAGTGTGGTGAGGTCCTGGCACAGGTTGCCCAGAGAAGCTGTGGCTGCCCCATCCCTGGAAGTGTCCAAGGCCAGGTTGGACAAGGCTTGGAGCAACCCGGGCTAGTGGAAGGTGTCCCTGCCCATGGCAGGGGGTGGGACTGGATGAGCTGTATGTTCCCTTCCCACCCAAACCAGTCTGTAATTCCATGATTCTACCATTTTGGATGGCCAGTAAGTGAATTTGGCTTCAGTCTGCAGGAATCACTGGAATTCGTGGTGATGAACACCAAAAAAAGCAAAGCCCCTGACAGGACAATCCTTCCAGGTGATGTACAAGACACATCATTTGCTCTTTGGGATGGTGCATGGCCACAGTCCCCATGATCTGCTGAGCCACTGCTCTGTGCTGGAAGAGCTGCTGCCCCTGGTTATTTCTGGGTCTGTCTCCAGGAATTTCTTTGGGAAGGGTTTCAGTTCTGCATGGCAGTGTTTGGCAGCGGGAGAAAAGGCACAGAAAGTGTTCCAAACCAACATGGTCATGGACAGAAACTCCCTCTCACCAATTCTCCACTTAGCTGCTGAGCCATAGTCGTGAAATGACTTCTGCATCGTCCTGGTTGATGCCCAGATTGAGAGATGGGATGTCAGGAATGGAGCAGTTCCTTACCCCCCTCTCCAGCAGCATGTCTCGGAAGTGGGTGATTCGCTCCTCCAGGGGAGGGGTGATCTGGGGGGCAGATGTCTCCTCATTCCTCTCCTCCACTCCAGCCCTCTCCAGGCCAGCAGCTTGGGAATCTTCTGTTCTTTAACAAGGTAAGATAGAAAAGAGTTCAGCAATTGTGAGCCTGGGAGGGGATTTTAATCCTCCCCAGAACATCCTTGAGGATCTGGGAGCCACCGGGGGCAGACGCTGATGGATGAGAAGTTCCCCCAGCCTGCAGCTGGTTATTAAACCCTGGGCTTTGGGGGACCTGTGAGGGACCTCTGGCAGCTCCTTATGAGGAAGGATGGTCCATCAGGGACATCAGAGGGACTCAGCAGCCAAACATTACACGATAATTCCAGCTACAGCAAAGTGACAGCTTTAAATAAACCTTGCCAAGGAGTACAGACATTGAAGGACCAAAAAGACTCATCTTGGTTTATTCTTTTTTCCCCTCTGTGTTTGTGGCTTGGAACTTGACAGTCAATGCTCATCTTTATTTTATGTTCCTGTGCACCCCAGGAGCTCATTCCTAAGGGAAGTAATCCAGGAACACCTCGAGTTCACAAAACGCGCCAGAGGGTCTGTGTTTATTCTGGCAGCATTTTCCAAGATTGCATCTGATTAGAATAAATAGGTGTTCCTGAGAAATCACTTCCTACACATTGCCTGAGTGCCTTTGCCCACAATATCCCTGGATAAAGCAGGTGGGCAGCACCACGGGGCTCGCTGCCGGGAGGGACAGTTTATCGTGGAATCACAATTCCAGTTGGAAAAGACCTCCAGGATCTTCAAGTTTCAACCGTAAAGTCACAGCACCATGAGAGTGATGCTCCCCTCAGGTGCAGCCCAACATAACCAGTGTCATCACCAGAGCTGAGCTGTTTCACACAGGAAAATATCCCCTCCTGGAGCATCCAGCCCTGGGATCCCCAAAGGACCCCCAAAGACGTGGAGCTGCTGGAGCAAGTCTAGAGGAGACCACAGAGATGCTCCAAGGGCTGGAGCCCCTCTGCTCTGGAGACAAGCTGGGAGAGCTGGGGGTGTTCACCTGGACAAGAGAAAGCTCCAAGGAGACCTGAGAGCCCCTTCCAGTGCCTAAAGGGGCTCCAGGAGAGCTGGAGAGGGACTTGGGAAAAGGGATGGAGGGACAGGACAAGGGGCAATGGCTTCCCACTGCCAGAGGGCAGGGTTAGATGGGATATTGGGAAGAAATCCTTCACTGTGAGGGCGATGAGGCCCTGGCACAGGTTGCCCAGAGAAGCTGTGGCTGCCCCATCCCTGGAAGTGTCCTAGGCCAGGTTAGACGGGGCTTGGAGCAACTTGGGATAGTGGAAGGTGTCCCTGCCCATGGCAGGGAGTGGGACTGGATGGGCTTTAAGGTCCCTTTCCAACCCAAACACTATTCTATGACTCTATGATTGAGTCCAGCACAAATTCAGGCTCTTTCTGGAAAGACCAGGAACCCTTAAACGATCACAAGGTTCAAGTGAGGGTAATTCAAGGAAGGTGATTTGATTTTTAGCCTCCTACTAAACATGACTGCATTTTCTACTGATGCAACTTTCACCACTACAGGATATTACTCAGTTTGAAATTTCAACAAGAGAAAAATTTGGTTTACTTCCAATCAGAGGAATTTGATCATTGTGTAACTTGAGCTCTGGCCCATTATCCTCCTACAAACAATTACATTCCACTTGACATTCATCCCAAAACGGTGCAGCATCACCAGTGAGCTGAGAGGGACCACACTGGTGCCCTTCACAGAATGACAACGAGTGTGATATCAAAATAGCAAATTTCATTTGGTGACATCATCCATGAAAGGCCCAATCCAATTTCTACTACACACAAAGAGCTTTGTCCAGACAAAAGTGAGGGAAGTACATCCCACTGCTTCCCCAGTCAAACACCAGGAAGGCTCCTCTGTCCTTCAGCCCTTACACAGGTGAAAATGATGCTGTGAATCACACTGATTTTTTTTCTCATGCCAAAAAAAGACAATAAAAAATTTAATTTAGCAAATATACAACAATCTGCACATCAAACTCCATGACTGCCTGCTCAGAAGGACACAGGCCATGGATCTTGGAAGCCTGAACGTCTCAAAATTGCTTCTTCAATTGTTATTTCATGAGAATTTGAAGCACAAATGGTAATAAAGGTCAATAACAGCAACACCTCAGGCTACTTCTGAGCCTGGAAACCTAAGACCAGGGGAAAAAACTCTGCTTCATTTCAATAGAGACAAAGATATTATCCAATGTCTTTGAAATAACTGGAAATATCCTTGCAGTCTTTTGTTTAACCATTTTAAAGGAAAAGCTACTCAGACAAAAATGGATGGTGTCCATGGGAAACAGAGATTACAGAGAAACCTGGAGTCTGATGAGGACTGGATACCCACAGAATGACTCCTATAATTTAGTTATCCACACAGGTAAACTGTGTTTTCTTTGCCCTCCTTCGTACCAAACGTTCCCTTCCCACCATTACATACAGACAAGCAAACTTTAGAACTTACTTATTTCTCTTAGTTTTGATGTTGAGATCATCGTTTTCATCCCCTGGGCAAGAACTAACACACTTGTCTGCTAAAAAGAAAGAAATCATTATTAGACTGGAACCAGAGAAATGGGAATACAAAGGAGCTTTCACTCCTTGTCTTTGCTGCTCAGAGTGTTTAAAAAAATATTACATATTTTATCAGATCACCAGAATTGCTTCATCCAAAGGAAAGGGACGGCAATAAACTGACCATTTTCATTTATTCAGCAAAATCACTCATTTTTCATTCATGACATTATTATTTTCAATCTTGTTACTGTTTCACCTGATCCTCCCTCCTCCCTTCCCTTAAAAATGCAACTGCAAAGACATTCCTGCAAAATGATTTCCGTGCTGGCAGCCTGAGGGATTCACTAGAGAGAACTCCCCCAGAACCTCCCCCCTTAGCCCACTTTTCTTTCAAATACGAACAAATACACCCCTGCTTTCCCAGGAATACAAGCACCACTGTGGCAAGGCTGTGGAGATACCAACAACCTCCACACTCCTGATGTTGGGAATAACTCCCAAGGCAACACCACTCGCCTGGATTGACCTGGACACGCGTCCTTGAAGGACCTAGAAGTTGGATTTTCAGTCATAAAACACATGTTTACTTCTGAAATATTTTCTTTTCATCCACATAAGCTGCAGTTTTCATCCAAATTCCACTGGACAGAACACCGGGAGCCACAACCACCCAGTGCTTGGTTTGTGCTGTGACTCTTCCATCCCAAACACATTGTTTCAGAAATATAAATATCAAACTGCAAGGGGTTCCCTTGGGAATATCAGAACCACCAACTCCAGCCCTTTTGGATTAGCCTGGTAAGGAACTTGTCTTGCTCTTTAGGAAACTACGAAAAAATAAATTAAAGGCAAATATAAAGTCGAACTGAGGTTATGGAGAGAAAAGGTTTGAATAAATGAAATGGTAAGATCTGAGCTCACTGAAACCCAATACAACTCCAAGACTTCTGCTGGAAAATGGGCCCAGTCTTTGTACCAGTGAAGGGAACAGAAATTTCGTCATTTATTTCTAGTTTCAATTTAAGAATCTTGCTCTTAGCTCCCTTTGATTCCCTATTTGAAGGAAATTACATGTTTATTTGTGTTCTTCCAGCAAATGTTACTTTCTATTTAAATTCAGTGCTCAAAGGAACAATAAAAAGCAAAGAGCAGCTGTGACTTTGTGGCACAGAAAGATCGGGAGCAGGGACCCCACGAGGAGGAAAAACATGGCAGGTGCAAAAGGACACTCTACTTAAACCCCTAAAGGATAATAAGGAGAAAAGGATGGAATTCTGAAATAAAGAGAGATTGATCTCGACATTCCTGAAAATAAATTAGCATTATGACAACATAAATAAATGGAATAATGTTTTAAATAAACATAAAATTATTAGGTCATAAATTACCCCTTCTCAGTAAATTCTTCTTTGAGAGAAGAATTAAAACCCAATTAAGAATACGAAGAAATAGGAAAACCAACCTGTGAACTCAGAAGGTGGAATGTAACACAACGGAGATATTATAGAGCTATTAATCAGGAGTTGGACATCCTGCAAAGGCAGCAGTAGTGTTAATTTAACTCTGAGGGTAAGAATATGAAATGAGACTATTTGTTGGTGCTTTCCAGGAGAGTTAGGTGACTGGGCAAGCACAATCCTGTTCCTACCAAACTTAGGGACACGAGTCAGTGGTGGCCTTGGCAGTGCTGGAGGAATGGTTGGACTCATTGGTCTCAGAGGGCTTTTCCAACCTCAGTAATTCTGTGATTCTATGAAAGAAAAGGAAAATCCCCCCCCTGCACTTGGCACCTGCCATGGGAGCCCTTCCAGAGGCGGTTCAAGGACAGATGTTGTGGGAAGGTCAGACACTCTGAACCCTGATGGGATATTTTTTTAGTAAAACAAGTGGGGAGAGTCCAACCAAGGCAGCAAAGCCTTTCCCATTCCACATTTCCACAGGACAAGAGAAACCCCCTGGTGATGACAAATTATGTGAATTTCTCCAGCTACTTCAAGAAGAACTCAAGTTTTAAATCATTTTATGACAAGATCTCTCACAGCTCTCTTAAAAGGAGGTTTTTAAAGTTTTGCCATGAAAAATCTGTGAACTGGGTAATAAAACCCAGTCTTAGCTACCACAGAGCCTTCAGGTAAAGTAACTCTGACACAAAACATCCCAGCTTCAGAGTTTGATTCCATCTGACCCTTCCTATCACACCTCAGAGCAAGGGCAGACCAAACCCTTTTCACTTTGCCACATGACTGACTGCCAGGGGCACAGCACTGTGGGCAAATGGGTCACAATTCCAGCCAGTGCATCACTGATACCTCAGTGCAATGGAAAACTCAGGAAAACATGACAAATGGTGTCTGTGCTCTCACTCAGAAATCCACTGAATCACATCATGCCCCTGGACCTCTGTGAGCTACAAACCCACTGTGCAGGGAAGAGGCAACCAAGCACAAAATGCAGTAATTGATGTAAAGCTTTGAGGAAGAACATCTCCTGACAGGGATCTTTCCATGGAATCACAAAGCAGAGCACTGCCCCAGTCTGTTGGTCTATTGAGCTTAGTGCTGATTAATTAAATCACTCAGCTAATCCCAGCCTTGTCAGGAATTCTGGTTCATTTTCCAGCACAAAGAGGAAACAGCATTTACCAGGTCCTTGTCAATCCACTGCTCCCATGCAAAACTCTGATTTGCAGTTTTGGAGTTGTCTGTCAGCCTAGGAGTTCCCCTGTGATAGGGACAGGCTTCAGATTTTTGTCTGAATGTGAAAGGGTCCAAAACATTTGTGGGAATTGAGTAAATGGAACCATCACTGATGGATTCTACCAACTATATTCAAGGCCAGGTTGGACAGGGTTCGGAGCAATCCGGTCTAGTGGAAGGTGTCCCTGCCCATGGCAGGGGGTGGGACTGGATGAGCTTTAAGGTCCCTTCCAACCCAGGCCATCCTGTGATTCCATGATTCTATAATGTCCTTTTTCTTCCAATTAGCTGAAAAAACTTCCTCAACCTGAACATCCGGACAAACCACAGGAGAAGTTAAGGAAGAGGAGGAGATAAAAACAGATCCATTTGCTCTGGGGCATGGGAGGAGCTGCTCCTCCTCTCTAATCCCACGGGATGGCCTGATGGGAACCATTAGTGAAGAGCCACGTCCATCAATCTCCTGAGAACAAACACTTGGGGGAGGTGGAGTAATTGATAAATGAGTAATTTTTCATTTATGCCCAAATTACAAATGCACTTGATCTTTCAGCAGAGATAACCCAGAGCACCCCATGAACAACTTCACTTGACAACTTGTTTTCCATGCCTTTGATTTGAAGATTCTAATTAAAACTCAGCAGCAGCCACTCAGCTCAATAAATTTGGGAACCATTGTTGGGAACGCACAGCTCATTTTTGTTATTTATTTACTCCAGATTACAAACTAAGAGAAATGGGAACAAATAATCCCTTTCACCTCAGCAGCCAATATATACTAATTATAACCTGCCTTGCTCAAACACCAAGTAAGGCCCAATTATATCAAGGAATATTAAGACAATTAGCAACAATGACAGTCATGGCCATAAAAAAAACTGGTGCATGAGTCAAGTCTTCGTGGGACATAGAGATAATAAATAAAAAGGATGGAACACAGCAAAAAACAGAGTTTTGAAGTGGGATGTACCAACCATGACTTCAGACTCTCCTGTTAATTAATTACAGACCATGAATGATGATAATAGACCATGAACAATGACCTCAGTTTTGTCTCAGGCCATCATTCCCCCTTGTCAGGAATTAACTGAGCTGTAATAAAAAGCATATGCTATCTTTTTCTCCTGAAGAATGAATTTTAGCTGTAATTCCAAAGTGTATCTGCTGAAGTTCTTCAAGTCATATACAAAACGTACATAAATATATATACAGGCATCTGTGGATTGAAATTGATATTGAAAAATGTAATTACAGCCTTTGTTGATAAGGACACACCAACAGCAAACAGTCTTTGTGGCTGTTTTCCTGCTCATACTGCTGACACAAATCCTGGTTATCACTCCTTTTTACCCCCTACAGACACAGGGGTTAATTGGGAGCTGTGCCCCTGCTTCAAAGCCAACACCCAGCCCCGCTGGGGTGAGGGGACAAGGCAGGTCCCCTTATCAGACTGGCAGTGCCACCCTCCTTTAGTTATAAAAACTACACTTTAAAACAATAACTAAAGTCTCACTTTTCCCCCCTCCATCTTTCTAGACCTCGCCACTAAAGAACAAGCAGCAACTGAAGGATAAAGACTATTTTTTCTCCACGAAAAGCAGAACATTCAGGAATTCCAAGCAGCTAATCAAGACCAAGAGCACTTCCAGTGACTGCCACGACTCAGTACCTCCCCCATAAGGGCAGGTCTTATGGACCCTGCTCCCAGTAAAGCCAATGTGAAGCCTCAGTACATGAAAGGAGCACTGCCACAGGAAAGAACAACTCCCAGGAACAGGGAGTCCATTAAACTGGTGAAACATAGTCTTTGGAGAGAAATGTGGTGGAACAAGCTATAGAGCCACCATAGGAACAGCAAGCAGAGGCTGGCACACTGGGCTGCTCCTGGACTGGTGCCAGTATGACAACACCTGGACTGAGCAACTAAGGTATGGAGAGCAGAAAAGAAGCTGGAGCATGGGATGGGAAAGTCCAGCTGGGAAAACCCTCCCTTCAGGAATCCAGGCTGATCAGAAGGTGCCCGGCAGAGCCACGGTTAGATGGAAGCACCCACCTTTCCACCAAACCTTTTAGCACTCAGAGGTTTACTCCTGGGATTTTCCTCCCTCTACAACTCGTTTGGATAATCATTAGCTCTGGAGTATCTGCCTTGTGCAGCAGCTGAGTGATGTGTTGGTAATGCTCTCCTAATGTACATCTTGGAACTCAGGACAATAAAACATACAGACAGAGTCTTCTGAGACATATTTTATAC